TTGGGTCCTTTCTCTTTTCTTTTTGATAAGTCTGGCCAGGAATTTATGAATCTTTTTTTTTTTAAGATTTTATTTGTTTATTTGACAGACAGAGATCACAAGTAGGCAGAGAAACAGGCACAGAGAAGGAAGCAGGCTCCCTGATGAGCAGAGAGCCCAATGTGGGGCTCAATCCCAGGACCCAGGGATCATGACCTGAGCCGAAGGCAGAGGCTTTAACCCACTGAGCCACCCAGGCACTCCATCAATCTTATTAATTCTTTCAAAGAATCAGCTCCTAGTTTCTTTGATTTGTTCTACTGTACTTCTGGTTTCTGTTTCATTTATTTCTGCTCTGATCTTTATTATTTCTCTTCTTCTGCTGGATTAGGCTTCCTTTGCTCTTCTTTCTCCAGCTTCTTTAGGAATAGGTTTAGGTTGTATACTTGAGACCTTTCTTGTTTCTTGAGAAAGGCTTATATTGCTATATACTTTCCCCTCAGGAATGCTTTTGCTGTATCCCAAAGATTTTGAACAGTTGTGTTTTCATTTTCATTTGTTTCCATGAATTTTTTAAATTCTTCTTTAATTTCCTGGTTGACCCATTCATTCCTAAGTAGAATGTTCTTTAGCCTCCATGTATTTGAGTTCTTTCCAACTTTCCTCCTGTGCTTGAGTTCTAGTTTCAGAGCATTGTGGTCTGAAAATATGCAGGGAATGATCCCAGTCTTTTGGTACCAGTTGAGACTTGATTTATGACCCAGGATGTGATCTATTCTGGAGAATGTTCCATGTGCACTAGAGAAGAATGTGTATTCTGTTGTTTTGGGATAGAATGTTCTAAATATATTTGTGATGTCCATCTGGTCCAGTGTGTCATTTGAAGCCTTTATTTCCCTGTTGATCTTTTGCTTAGATAATCTGTCCATTTCAGTGAGGGGGATGTTAAAGTCCCCTATCATTATTGTATTATTGCTGATGTGTTTCTTTGATGTTGTTATTAATTGCTTTATATAATTGGCTGCTCCCATGTTAGGGGCAGAGATATTTAAAATTGTTAGATCTTCTTGTCGGGCAGACCCTTTAAGTATGATATAGTGTCCTTCCTCATCTGTTATTAGAGTCTTTGGCTTTAAATCTAATTTGTCTGATCTAAGGATTGCCACTCCAGCTTTCTTTTGATGTCCATTAGCATGGTAAATTGTTTTCCATCCCCCCCCCCACTTTAAATCTGGAGGTGTATTTGGATCTAAAATGAGTTTCTTGCAGAGAGCGTATCGATGGGTCTTGTTTTTTGTTTTTGTTTTTGTTTTTTTTTTAATCCTTTCTGATACCCTGTGTCTTTTTATTGGAGCATTTAGCCCATTTACTTTCAGGGTAACTATTGAAAGATATGAATTTCATGCCATTGTATTGTCTGTAAGTTGAATGTTACTGTGTATTGTCTCTGTTCCTTTCTGGTTGGTTAGTTTTAGGCTCTCTCTTTGCTTAGAGGACCCCTTTCAATATTTCTTGTAGGGCTGGTTTGGTGTTTGCAAATTCTTTTTGTTTTTCTTTGTCCTAAAAGCTTTTTATCTCTCATTCTATTTTCAATGACATCCTAGCTGGATATAATATTCTTCTCATTCAGTGCTCTGAATATATCTTGTCAGTTCTTTCTGGCCTGCCAGGTCTCTGTGGATAAGTCTGCTGCCAATCTAATATTTCTACCATTGTATGTTACAAACCTCTTGTCCCAAGCTGCTTTCAGGATTTTCTCTTTGTCACTGAGACTTGTAAGTTTTATTATTAGATGACAGGGTGTGGACACATTTTTATTGATTTTGAGGGGGGTTCTCTGTGCCTCCTGGATTTTGATGCTTGTTCACTTTGCCAAATTAGGGAAATTCTCTTCTATAATTTGCTCCAATATACTTGCTGCCCCTCTCTCGCTCTCTTTTCTTCTTCTGGGATAACAATTATTCTAATATTGTTTCATCTTATGGTATCACTTACCTCTCGAATTCTCCCCTCATGGTCCAGTAGTTGTTTGTCTGTCTTTTGCTCAGCTTCTTTATTCTCCATCATTTGGTCTTGTATATCACTAATTCTCTCTTCTGCCTCATTTATCCTAGCAGTAAGAGCCTCCATTCTTGATTGCACCTCATTAATAGCTTTTTAAAATTTCAACTTGATTAGATTTTAGTTCATTTTTTCCAGAATGGGATTTTATTTCTCCAGCAAGGGATTCTTTGGTATCTTCCATGCTTTTTTCGAGTCTGGCTAGCATCTTGATAATTGTCATTCTGAACTCTAGATCTGACATCTTACTAATGTCCGTATTGATTAGGTCTCTAGCCATTGGTACTGCCTCTTGTTCTTTTTTTGAGGTGAGTTTTTCTGCCTTGTAATTTTATCCAGATAAGAATAGATGAATGAGAGAACAAAATACTAAGAGGGTAGCAATGACCCCAGAAACATATACACTAACAAATTGGAAGAAACCCAAAACGGGGGGTGGGGAAGGGGAGAAAATAGGAAAAAAAAAAATATATATATATATATATGTATATACATATATATATGTGTGTGTGTGTGTGTGTGTGTGTGTGTGTATATATACATATATGTGTGTGTGTGTGTGTGTGTGTGTGTGTGTATATATATATATATGTGTGTGTGTGTGTGTGTGTGTGTGTGTGTATATATATATATAT